GGGAGTGAAAAATAGTACAGCCACTTTAGAATACAGTTTGGCAGTTTTATACAAAACTAAACATACTCTTTACCATACGGTCCTGCAATCATGTTCCTTGGTATTTGCCCAAATGAATTGAAAACTTATGTCCACACAAAAACATGCACACAATGTTTATAACAGCTTTATTCATAATTGCCTAAACTTGGAAGCGACCAAGATGTTCTTTACTAGGTGAATGGATAAACTGTGATACATGCAGACAATGAGTATTATTTAGCACTTAAAGGAAATGAGCCATGGCAATATGACAAGAATTTAAGTGCATATTACTGCAAGAAAAAGGCCAATCTGAAAAGGTTACATGCTATGAGTCCAACTATACTGCATTATGGTAATTGCAAAGCTATGGAGATAGTCTTATATTAAGCATTGCCAGTGGTTAGTGGGGAGGGAGGGATGAATAGATGGAGGAAAGAGGATTTTAGGGAGTGAAATTATTTTGTATGAAATACAGTGGAGTTTCCATATCTTTATATATTTGTCAGAATTCAATAAAATGTGCAACATTCAAGAATGAAGCCAAATGTAAACTATAGACTTTGAGTGATAATGATGTATTAATGCATGTTAATTGCTTATTACAAATGTGCCATCCTGGCACAGGATGAAGCTTTATATATGTGGAGTCAGGGCACTTATGAGAAATCTCTGTACCTTCCACTCAATTACTTGTAGACCTAAACCAGTTCTAAAAAACAAGAACTGTTAAAAACATATAGAATGTTAGTTCATCATTTTTCCCCATAAGGGCTTTAAAATAAGTTCAGATTGAGCTCAGTCATCATGAACTCTGTGAGACATTTGTCTAAAATTTGATTTTGTGATTTAACGTTGACATTGTATGTGTTCAGTAAATTATTTTTATAATTATCAGTCTACTTGTTTTTTTTTTTTTTTTTGGTACCGGAGATCGAACTCGGGTCCTTGCGCTTGCAAGGCAGGCAATGGAACCACTGGGCTAAATCCCCGGCCCTAGTCTACTTGTTTTTATAGTTGATGGGCAAAGAGAGACACACATATGATTATACACTGTTTAACACACTTTTAAGATTCATCATTTCCTCTCTGTCTTGAAAAAACAGCATGCTATAACTAATTGTTACAATACAAAGAATCAATGAATTGAAGATTTGGTTCTTTGAAAGTTTAAATAAAACAGACAAACCCCATTTCCCTGCCCATTTACAAGGGCTTTGTTTCTGTTTTTTCCTTTTCTCATATTTATTCCTTATTCTTCCTTCCTTTTCCCAACCCCTCCCACTACCCTTCCACTTTCCCTTTGAACCTCTTTTCTCTGTTACACATTATCTGTGATACATTTTGGTCCTCACTTACATTTTCAGTTCTCACACCAGAGACACTATTTGATATTTACACATGTGTGTCTTCTTTATTTCACTTAAGAGTATGGCCTTGATGTGCATTCATTTAGCTATAAATGTCTCTAGTTTCTCATTCTTTTTGGATGAGTAGTACTCCATTTTATATTTAAAAAACCCCACATTTTCTTTAGTCACCAGTTGATGGGCAATTGGGCTGTTTCCAAGTTTTAGCTATTACAAATTGTGCCACTATAAACATGGGTGCACATATATTGCTGTGATATGACCAACCTTATCAAAAAAAAGGAAAGAAGACTCAAATCCATGCAATTAGGAATTAAAAGGGTGAAATCACAGCAAATTCTGCAGAAATCCAGAAGATCAACAATACCTACTTTGAGAACCTATATTCTAAAATGATGAAAAACACAGAAGAAATGGACAGATTCCTAGATATATATGAATTACCAAAGCTGAATTAAGGAGATATAAAAATCCTAAATAACCCCGTATCAGTCAGTGAAATTGAAGATATAACTTAAAAACTACCAACAACAACAAAAAGGCCCTCCTGTTGGATTCACTGCTGAATTGTACAAGAACTCTAGAGAAGATCTAATGTCACTATTCCTCAGACTCTCTAATGAATTTGTAAAGGAAGCATTACTCCCAAACTCATCCTGGAAGCAAGCATTATGTTGATACCAAAACCAGAGAACAATCCAACCAAAAAAGAGCGCTACAGGCTAATCTCTAATGAACATAGACTCAATAATCCTCAATAAGATACTGGCAAACAGAATGTAGCAAATCATCAAGAAGATTCTACAGCATGACCAAGTAGGATTCATCCCAGGGAATGGTTCAATATACACAAATCAATAAATATACCACATTAACAGAGCCAAAAACAAAACCACATGATCATCTCAATAGAGGCAGAAAAAACATTTAACAAAGTCCAGCATCCACTCATGACAAAAATTGTTCAGAAAATTGGAATAGAAGATCTTTATCTCAATATGATAAAAGCCATCTATGAAAAACCAATGGCCAATATAATACTAAATGGTCAAAAACTGAAAGCTTTCACTCTACAATTAGGAACAAGACAAGGATGTCCACTATCACCACTCTTATTCAATACAGTCCAGAAACATTAGCCAGAGCAATTAGACAAGAGAAAGAAAAAGAATAGGAATAGAAAGGCAAGAAATTAAATTATCATTATTTGTGGGGATATGATAGAAGACCCCAAAAACTCCACCAAAGGACTCCTAGATTTAATAACCAAATTCAGTAGCATAGCTGGATATGTAGCCAACACTCAAAAATTAATAGCATTCCTGGAAACAAATATCAAAGTCACCGAGAGAGAAATTAGGGAAATAACACCTTTCACAGTAGTATCAAGAAAAATGAAATACTTAGGAATCAATCTAACGAAGGAAGTAAAAAGACCTTTGCATTGAAAACTATAGTACTCGGCAAAAGGAGATTGAAGAAGATATCAGAAAGTGGAATGATATCCCTTGTTCTTGGGTAGAAGGAACCAATGTGGTGAAAATGGCTATACTTTTAAAACTGTTCTACAGATTTAATGCAATCCAGATCAAAATACCAATAGCATACCTCACAGAACTAGAGAAAAAAATCCTAAAATACATAAGGAACCAGAAGAGACCTAGAATGGCCAAAGCAATTCTGGTCAACAAAGTCAAGGCGGCGGGCATCACAATCACTGACTTGAAATTATCCTACAGAGCTACTGTGATGAAAAGAGCATGGTATTGGCAAAACAACAGCAACAACAACAACAAATAGACCTGAGGATCAGTGGAATAGACTAGAAGATGTAGTAACAACTCCAAACATATTCAGCCACCTTATCTTTGACAAAGAAGCTAAACATATTCACTGGAAGAAAGATAGCCTCTTTAATAAATGGTGTGAGAAAACTGTCTTTCCATATGCCGAAGATGAAACCTAGACCCGTATCTTTCACCATGCACTAAACTGAAAGCAAAATGGATCAAAGATCTAAATGTTAAAAGAGACACTAAATCTGCTAAAAGAATAGGTAGAACTCTTAGAGTTGGGGATTTAGCTCAGTGGTGCTGAGCCTGCCTGGTCCTGAGTTTGATCCCCAGTACAAAAAAGGTAGAACTCTTGAAGACATAGGTGTAGGTGAGGACATCATGAACAAAACTCCGATCCCATAGGAAATATTACAAATACACAATTAGGATCTCATCATACTAAAAAGCTTCTGCACAGCATAAGATACCACCAACAGAATAAAGAGGCAACCCACAGAATGAGGAAAATTTTTACCAGCTATTCCTCAGACAAAGGACTAATACCTAGAATATATAAAGAATTCAAAAAAAAATCAGACCCCTCCCAATTTAAAGACCCAATCCAAAAATGGGCACCTGAAATGAATAAAAGCTTGTCAGATGAAGAAATACAAACAACAAATAAATATATGAAAAAAATGTTCAATACCACCGGTCATTTGAGAAATGCAAATTAAAATGCTGAGATCTATCTCACTCATGAAAGAATGGCTGTCATCAAGAAATCAACCAATAACAAATGCTGGTGAGGCTGTGGGGAAAAAGGAATGCTTTTCCGTTGTTGGTGTTGGTGGTAGTGTCGACTGGTGTAATCACTGGCAGTCAATGTGGAGATTCCTCAAAAAAACTGAAACTAGAGGTTCCATTTGACCCAGTTATTCCCCTTCTTCAGATCTTCCCCAAAGAGTTAAAAGCATCATACTACAGTGATATATGCACAGCCATGTTTATAGCAGCACAATTTGTAATAGCTAAATCTTGGAAGCAGCCAAAATGTCCATCAACCAATGAGTGGATAAAGAATATATGTTCTTTATATACAATGGAGTACTATTCTGCTATAACTTTAGACATTTCTAGGTAAATGGATGCACCTTGGGACCACACTTTTAAGTAAATCAGATGCACACGTTTAAATATGGCATTGTTTGTCCTCTGTGGGAAACTGAAAGGATAAATAAAGACCGAAATGGATGACAGATACTGGGAAGAAGGAACAAAATTTTCAAATTGGAAGGAGAACGAGGGAGGGAGGAGGCAGAGGGGAAGGAAGGGAAAAGGAAAAAAAAGAATAGAAGGAAAAAAATGGAAACCAATTTTTGTTAAGGAAGGGAAGAGGAGTTCAAGGGAGGGCAAGAAAATGAGAAAAAAAAAGAATGAAATTATGTACAGGTACAAATTTCCTATGATGAATGTGATAATTGTATATATCACAAGTGTACCAATGAAATTAATTTAAAAATAAAATAAAATAAAAATATATGTCATTGTTTAGTTTACTTTTCACTTTTTTATTACATAAAGTATCTCTAGTGTATATGTGGACTCCAATCATTGGGACTAATCTGTTTTTAGAGGCTTTAATTTTTACAGATTGGTTTTCAATGAGATCAGGGCAAAGTTTCTGTGATGCGTATAAAGTAGAATCATTGTGAAGAAAAATGATAATTTTTGATAGTAAAAGAGATTACTTAGAGCAGAGTATGAAAAATTATTCCTTCTTTACTTTGAAAATTAATAATCATTACTTTTCAAATGTTTTCTGTTTTGCCAGAGACTGACAATGTTAAGCCATTGGTGGGTGTAAAAATCCTGGATCTAACAAGGTTTGTTTTGGTTTATCTACATTTTTGTGATTGGGAAATGTACTTACTTTTTGTGTTATAAGGGATACTTATATGCCTACGTTAAAATTTTAGAGAAGGAAAAAATGAAAAGCAAGAAAAATTCCTGGAATTTCATTATTCTGGGATAATATTACTGTAATATTTATGCATGTTTGTCAATCTATTTCTATATAATTTTAAATAAGAAAAATTGGAACTATATTGAAATTAGTTTTACCCTCATTTAAAACATATTATATTTTGCATATTTTTCTGTTGTTCAAAATTAGACAAAATTATAAGATGATATTGTATTACATAGATGTCATAATGACATAATTATCTCCCAAAATTTCACTTTTATTTATTAAGCTTCCCTGCATATGAATCTTTACCTCAGTTTGTTTCTTTCTCAGGATAGAATCCTAGTAATAGAATGACTGGATCAAAGATGACATACTTTTTTAAAGCTCTTGATATATATGACCAAATTACATTTTAAACAATTTTGATTTTTACCAATATTATATGAACTTACCTATATTAATAGACTATTAAGAAAATAATACAAAAATGTTCAATATGGTTATTTATCATTGTTAACATTGTAGAGTACTGGCGGGACCTTTTGCTACTATGAATTTGGGAGATCTTGGAGCAGAAGTTATTAAAGTAGAAAGACCAGGTAAAAACCTATGGCTTCCTCTAAAAACTAGAGTCAAGCTAATCAATATTTTAGTAATTTTTAACATATCCATTTTAGTGTACCTATAAATTTGATGAAGATATAATTAAAATAAAATGATTATTTTCTTTTCTCTATTCTTTTTTTCCTATGAACTTCTATTAATGCTCTTTTTATAAGTGCCAAGGACTGAGCTAGGGCTCAAACCTTCTCATACATTTGAAAGCTTCTGTAGAACATATAACAACGATGACAGTGACACAGTGCTCTGCAAAGTTCTCAACCCCTTGTCAATTTTAGTTTAATGTTTACAACAATCCTACAGGCTGATGTTATTATCCTAGTTTATACATGGGAAAATGTAGGCCCAGAAAGTAAAGCAACTTGTTCAAGGCCACACAGCTAATAAGGTGCTCAGCTCTGACCCTGACCCTCCTTAGCCCCACAAAAGCCCTACTGTTGAGACTGATTAGTGATGGTGACCATACCCTAGGAGTATGGGATAAAGGGAAGCAAGGAGAAAGAGGATATGGAAGAAAGAGAGAAGGGAAAAGAACAGCAATCCTTCAAAAAGGAAACCATAGGGGCTGGGGATTTAGCTCAGTGGTTCCAGCGTCTGCCTCACAAGCACAAGGTCCCGAGTTTGATCCCCGGTACCAAAAAAAAAAAAAAGGAAACCAAGTACCACAACCTACATTATTCTTTTCTAATAAAAGGAACATTTTCTCTTTTTATAATTCTTTTCTTCATTTGCAGTGCTGAGGATTGAACCCAAGGCCTCCTACAGGCCAGGCAGATAAACACTCTATCCTGTGCTACATCCATAGGTCCCCCATTTTACAATTTTAATGGTTTTGATGGGGGAAATATCTAACTTTAGATTGATTCCTTTTTTTTAAATGTTTTTCATTCAACATCTTTCTGCTTCTTTTTGCCTCCTTTGTCCAACAAATAAGTATGCTCTACGTACACGATTCTCACTTTTATTTGTTGCCTTCCTAGAATTTTGGTGGTTAGTTCATGGAATTATTGTAAGGTATCTTAGAAAAGTGTCATTGTTGTATGTCCTTTCTCTTCAACAGGCCCTTAAGAGGTATAGACTCTATTCTTTACTATGTCCTGTACATTAACCTATAAATGGTTTATTGTAAAGGTTTCAAGAATAATACTGATAGTTATTATTATTTATGTTTCAAAATCATATCCTTATGAGCCTCAAACAGAATTCTTAGAATAGTCTAGCACTGAATAGTCTGTATTTATCTGTAAGACTCATAAGAGGCTAATTTATAATTATATCAACTTATTAATTTATGTTAAGTGGTAAGGCCTATAAAGATTTAATATCCTCCAAAATAGATCTTACTAAGAAGCAAAAGCAATTAGCAGAAGATTGTCTGATCAGCATGGTGAATACTATTAGATATTATATTTTAATCATATTCATCTGAGCCTGTTCTTATTGGTCTCAGGTGGTTCAAGTGCCTGGTGAGTCCCACTTTCCAGAGATAATGCTTAGTCTCTGTAGTTAGTGATGTTCATTGCTTTTGGTCTTTTCTGGGTACATGCTGAAAATTGTTTACTTTCTAGTTGATCATTTTGTCTTTTTCTCCCCAGTTTCTGTAAAGGTTCTAATTTCCATATTGCCATCTAATTTCAACACCACAGAACTTCTGATTTGAACTTCTGGTTTTCTTGCATCTTCTCTTCATAGAGAGAGCATTTACTGTAATTTCTCTTACAGTTTAAGTTGGTCATCAGGCTGATATTTGTACTTAGGTTAATTTTATAAATCATTATTCCTTATTTACTTACCCCTATTTCCTTTTTGTACATTTTAGGTCCCACTGTGGGAAGACTTTTCTCTGTCTAGGCCTCTGTTACGTCCTAACACCATGCAGTTAGTATCAAGCTTTGTTCACAGCAAATATTTACTGTTCCAATTTTGGCTGGTTAATCTGACTCTTTCTCTTAACCCTCATGTCCAATACATGTTAATGTTCATATGACATATTTAATTGTTTTGGGTTTTTAAGATACTTATTCAACACAGGAGGAAAGTGTTTTAGTAGTATTAAAAGGGACTTGGTAATCTTCCCAAATTTCAGTTGAGTGTTTCTTTGTGTTCACTTCTTCATTTCTTCAGTCAAATAAAATTTGTTTGTAGTTTTCTTAGTACTTAGATTGTTCTCTCTTGCATAATCAAAGAACATATCCAACTTAAGTATACTTTTTCTCTTCTTTTTTTAGAGTTAGTCAATTTGGTGGTGGGGGGGGGTAAATCTATAATATATGCAGGGCTAGGCAGAGAACCTGAATGACAGAAGTGAGCTAGGAAGGGTAGCAAATGATACCACTGAAATCCCAGACTGTCCCCACTGGGTGGTGATGAGGTCAGAAAGGCTGATCTTTTGTACACTGCTATGAGCAGTATCTTAACCAGTGCTCATAAGTGATTCAGCAAATCAATGAATGTGTTGAAAAATCATAGGAAAAGGGCAGTCTGAATTTTCACATGACATCTCTAGACTTTGAAAGCTTGGTAGAGTTAAAAACATTAAAAACTGTGGGTCACATAAAACATGTTTCTGAAGTTTCCAATTTTAACCTTAACATTTAGCTTTTCAGTCCTTAGTTTTCTGCTCCTCTAAAACATTGCCAAATCCCAAGGACAGCAGGTCAGGAAAGACTTGGAAGCCCCCACTTTAGATTTCTGACATTATTTCCACCTGAGAGATGAATGCAATCATTTAAAATAAACTATACAGTTTTAGATTTATTCTAGCATTGCTTTTTTTTTTCTGTCCTTTTAAAAAAATTTCATGCATTGGGAGTTTCAAAAACATGGAAGAGGCCATATTCTCTGGTGACTCTGAGAGGTCCTGTCTGATACTGAAGATCCAGACTCACACATACATTTCCAATGCAGTGAGCCACTGTCTAGCTTACTAGGCAGTTGCCCTTGCAGACCCTTCTAGCTCGTGTCTCCCCCTGGTGTTTTAAGTATGCCATTCTCTTTAGTACTTAGCTTTAAAAAAATTAAAAAAAATTTTTTTTTTGCAGTAATATAAATTAAACCCAGGGCCTTTGCACTCAGCTACATCCCATCCCTCTTTTTAAATTTTATTTTGAGATAGAGTCTCCCTTCAGTTGTCCTGGCTGGGCTTGAACTTGTAGTTTGCCCAGAGTGATGGGATTTCAAGCATACATCACTAAGCCAAGCTGGTATTTAGCACTTATTGCTGTCATTATTAGTTCATCTCTAGTTAGAACTAATGTTTCTTTTCTCTCCTCTGACCTGTGTACTCTGTTTCTCTCTCTTTTTTTAGTTCTTTTTTTTTCTTTTTGAGAGAGAGTCTCATTATATAGTTCAGATTGGCCTCGAACTCACTATGTAGCTATTAGCCCAGGCTGGGCTCAAACTTGCAGCAATCCTCCTGCCTCAACCTCATGAGTGCTGGGCTTATAGGTGGGCGCCACCAAGCTCTCTCTCTCTCTTTTAAATAAAGCAATTTATTCTTTAGGCCCCTCCCCCTCAAATTTGTCTCTGTTGGTCAGCTTAGTGGGACGTGCCTGTAATCCTAGCACTCTGGGAGGAGGCAGGAGGATCAGAACCTTGAGCCCAGCTGGGGCAACTTAGCAAGACCATATCTCAAAGTAAGGATTAAAAAAGAGTCCGGGAACGTAGCTCAGAGTGAAGGCCGTGGGTTTAATCCCTAGTAACACATGCATGCACGCACACACATACTCATACAGAGAATTAGCCCTATTTTTTCCTGATCAATTTCAGTGACTAAAGTCTAATAGCTCACAGATTGATTATACTATTTAAATGATTAGAAAAATGGTACTATTTAAATGATCATTTAAAACTTTAACCTGTATTCACAAATTCTTTCTGTTTTTAAAGGGAGGTAGTGATAAATACTTTATTTGTAATTGCCTATATAGACAATAATAGGGATTAGATTTTTATAGCAATATTTACTTGGAACTTATAAAACTTGTAGGTGACACTATTTTGTACCATTTAATTATTGAATCATTTTCTGAGTTCCGGTTACATTTTTCACCAGTTTTAGTGCAAAAACTTTTCCTCTAGTTTTCTGGTATTGTCTTTGAATCAAAATGAGTACATTTCAGAATTACTAGGAGAAAATATCCAAAATAAAATACTCTATTTTTGATGGTTTTACACTATTACATTGAAACAAAACCTAGATGATTAAAATTTTATTCTAAAATATTATTTTAAATTAATGACATTTGCTATTCAGTAGCTTCTTTTGCCTTTCCTGGTTGTTACAGAAATATTTTATAGATTCATTAATCACTGCTGTAAACCTAGTTCCAGATGTTACTTTATGATAAAGACTCACATCTTCTGAGTTAAATTACATTCATCAAGACTCTTTTGCAGACTCCACATTTTCTTTGCACATTGAATGCTAGGGAACCATGAAAGAGTTGACTGACTTGCTTGCCAAAAACAAGAGTAATTCCCCCCCGCCCTCTGAAGTTTGCTGTTTATTAAATCTAAAGACTGCCAGTAGGATATTTCCTTCTGGGTTAAACTTTCAACAGTGCAATTTAGCAAAAGAGGATATGGAAGGATCTAATGGTTAACACAAAAAGGTAAAAAGCTTGGCTGTTCTAAGGAGCTCCTATAGACCCCCATGGGCAGAGTTGAGGATTCCACTGGGCTAAGCTGATCTTGTGCAGGTACCTGTGCATCAGGATTTGAAATGATCTATGGTATTTCAAAGCTAAAGACTAATAACTCACATTATTATTTTCAGGAGTTGGTGATGACACACGAACTTGGGGGCCACCTTTTGTGGGCACAGAAAGTACATATTTTCTCAGTGTTAACCGAAATAAGAAAGTAAGGATATCATCTTTTTTGGGTTTATTTTTTGGAATTCTCTTGTAATAACAAAATGTTTGATATCATCATGACTTTTTTGCAGATATAATTAATATTTCAAATATGATGAAATTTTATTACTTCCCCAGATAACAGAAAGAAACAATAATTTTGGTTTTTTTTAACTAATCTTTCTTTTCTACGAAGAAATTTAAAACATTTCATGAGAATTTATAATGGAAACTTTATAAAAGAGAGAAATCAATTGATTTTTTACATATGTTGTTCTTTTAAAAGATGCTAGGGCCAGGGATTTAGCTCAGTGGTGCTGTGCCTGCCTCACAAGTGCAAGGTCCTGAGTTCAATCCCTGGTACCAGAAAAAAAAAAAGATGCTAAATGCCTAACCCCAGTGTTACTGTTGTAAACATTTTCTATAATATTAACTATTAACATAACATCTCCTAATTACAAATAAAATTAATAAAGAATATTTAAGTATTTCTCTATGGGGAGAATAAATTTTCTTTAAGAGGAGAATCTATGATATGCATGGCTTTCTTGTTGGACTGTCAATAATAAAAATGCCTTTGTGATAAAATTTTAATATCTATATTTTGATTTTTAGAGTATAGCTGTTAATATCAAGGATCCAAAAGGTGTGAAAATCGTCAAAGAGGTACAGTATACTCTGTGGAAAGCAACTTACAACCTTGGTTGTAATTAGAGTAAAATATTTTTAAAACTTTATTTCATTGACAATCTGTACTTTTGCTGTAAATGCCATTTAAGAATAGAAGTTGAAATTTTTCAAAAGTATAATGTGCTTTATTATTTCTTGTGTATTGTGTATAATTGTAGTCCTAGCTACCATTGACTGAGTGGCTTTTGAATCAGATCTTGGGCTTAGGCATTTTACTTACATTAATTTCTCTAAGCCTCAGAATTTGCCTTGTAATTGAAGTATTAGAATCCCCAGTATGGGCCAGGGATTTAGCTCAGTGGCACCTCACCTGCCTTGCAGGTGCAAGGTCCTGAGTTCAATCCCCGGTACCAAAAAAAAAAAATCCCCAATTTCATGAAAGGAAATTGAATCGTGTAGAGTCTAAGTGATGGTTCAAAGATTACCTAGCTAATGTTAATTTAAATTTGGCCTAAATCTAACTCTGTATGCAGCAAACCACAATCTAATTTAGTGTGTAAACCAATTATGAACTAATTTAAGAGTATATTCTTGTGGCAGATAGTGAAGTTTCAGCCCATCACAGCAGCCCAAGGGAGCAGAACATGTCCCTGTTGATACATGCCAAATTATAACTAATCAAACTGTTTCTGGATGTCACTTCCTTTTTTTTTCTTTTTGTCTAGAAATACTGTTGCCCATCTTGTTTGATGGAACTCTCTTAATGTTTCCTGGGTTTTTTGTTTTTACTTAAATTTTTTTTATTGGTACATTTTAGGTATACAATACATTTACATTTCTCATTGGGAACTTGTACCTTCACATGATGCATCTTGGTTCTTATTTTTTCCCCATTCCTAGCCCTCCATTCACCCCCTC